GCCGCCCGGCACAGCAGCAGGTCACATTTGTGTTTATGACAGCATTGTGCGCTCCAGCGCTGAATACTGTGGAAAAAGGACAGCAAACAATGAACCACAAGACATGACCTTCAGGGAGAGGATGGGGGGGCGGGGGCTCCGGACACAGCGCTGCTCCCCCGAAAATGAACCAGATACAGGCACACAAAGTCCGATTTGGAGGGGGGCAAAGGGGCATCTTGTACATGCTGAGCTACAAATGGTGCTCTGTCAGGAGATTGCTGACAAAGACAACTGTGCCCTTCTAGTGCGAAACTGGAAGTGACCAAAACACAGCTAAACCTGTGGGACAGTGGGGTGACATTATCGAACAACATACAGATAGTCTGCAGAAGCTTTCATACGACAAAGTACCTTTATTTTTTAAGAAGAGACCAGTTTTTAGAAAACTATGCATCTCATATCTCTGCTTATGTGAGAATTGAAACTGTGTTGAAGTACAGTATTTCAAATAATTTAACCCCCTTTATCCAGACTTTTGATAAAACTTAGCACTTACTTATTATTATGACTTATAATATTTGTTTTTTAGGATGTACAAAGCTGCTGAATGCACACTGTGTGCATAAACTTAGCTGAATAGACTTGTTGGCATCTGAACTCTACAAAACTTTCACAAAAGTTAAAAGTAAAAGTAAATCCAACAAAATGGCTCCCGATTCCGACGGACATTTAATGGGCTGATAATGGTGTTCTTAACCTACAGTGTAGCAGGACACAAGTGTTGTCAAAAATATCAATGTATCGATATATATTGATTCAAAATATTTGAAACAGTTTCAACACCCATTTTCCACAGTATCGATACACCACTACCAGCTGCACTTGTTTTTCTATCTCTTACTATTAATTTTTACAACAGACATTCTGCTGTTCTCTGCTATTAACCGGGCAAAGACAAGTCATCTTCATCATTTTTTAGCCTTGTTATATTTATATTTTAATAAATATGTTTTGATTTTATGTCCCTAATGTCAGTTTTTTCCCATAGTAGCGCAAATACTATCAAATAATGACATTTTTCAAGGTATTGTATTAAAGTTAGAAAGAATTTCAATATTTCTTTTAGCAATTCTATCACTATCTTTCTAAGGGTTATTTTCTAACGATGACTTGGGATGTCAACGGTTTACCCTTAATTGGTTAACCATGAGAAAATGTTTGATTGGTTACGCTTGTCGCCGTATACTTTGACTTTGCTACTCTTCAGTTTACTGCACTGCGTATGTAACAGGTCAGGCGGGAGCTAGCTAGCAGCACCGCTCATTCTGCATTTATTGCTAGTAATGCCATCCCGACCTAGCATTGTTTCTATGGAAACATTGTGCCCAATGCCCCAATGAGTATGCAACTCGATTTTGAGATGCAAACCTCTCTGCAAGCACTGTTAACAGTGTCGACTAGTGGTGCTAACATTGCTAACAATGCTAATGGGGTTTTGCGGCTCAAAATAAAGCTGTTTTCTTACCAGAGTGACATGGGGGGGGGGGCATCGACGACGGCCACCATGTTTCTGCAGCAGTGATCGACAAATGAGCGGTGCCGCTGGCTACCTCCCACCTGATCCAGATGCACAGTGAGGAGCGGCTAAGGCTAAAGTTAGCTAACTAGTGGACACTGGAGGGCGGGCAGTGGGCACTATGTTTCCTTGTGTTAACGCAGCTGTCAGCAAAGCCAACACAAAATACATTTACATCACAAAACGTGAAAATTTCCCCAACTCTAAATGGATAGTGCTTTTAAATGTGGTGCTAGAGCTCACTGTGTCAATGGAGCACTGGACTAAAGGGGATTTGTCATCAGTTTTTTGTTTGTTTTTAATTAACCGATTAGGTACTGGTTTGACCATTATACTCTCCATGTTGTCTTAGCTGCATTGCAAGATCTATGTTAACCAGGCACAGATCAATAAAGAAATCAGATGCAAATTAGATCCTATAACACCTCATCAAACAGAAACTAATACATCCATAAATTTTGTCAATGGGATAACACTCGTGTTACCATCCAACGGAGTAGAACAAACATTACTTCTTGTGAGCACTGTCATATTTTTGGAGGTGATAGAGGAAGAGAATGGCTTTAAGAACAGACAAAAAGAGAAGATAATCAATTGATTGTCAATCAATAGGCAGGCAGGAGGACCGGGGTAGGAAGATTGGATGGCTCAAGCCTTCACAGATAATCGAAGATGCTAAGACAAGGGTCCCCACCCCCATCATGCAACGTCGTTCTCCCTGTGGTTGTCACCTCCTCCCTGTTTATGTGAATACCCCTCTTCCTCCTCATCCTCCATGTCCCTCTCAGGCTCCCCTTCAGTCCCCTGTTCCCTCTATTCCCCTCCACTATCTCACCCCTTCTCCATTTCCCTTGCTCCGTCTCTCACTCTCCCACCCCCACTCCACCTCTTTTCTCGTCCTCCAGTGCTCCCCCTCCTCTCTCCCCTGTCTACTGCAGCAGAAAAGCCAGCACAGACACCAGCATGTGTGTGTTTGTACATGTGTGAGCTGCTACGGTAGATTCTACGAGCGAGCTTCACGCGATCATGAGCGGAGAAGGAGGTGGAAATTTGGAAGGGGAGAAAAAAAAGCCCTGCATGCGTGTCGAAGGCTCTGATCAAAACATTGATTGCTGACGCGTTACATCACAGCCATGCAAACAAAACCCCTTTAAATCATTAGAGTAATGTCTCTCCTCCTGTCTCCCTTTATTTCCTCTCGTCTCCCGCTTCCTCTCTCTGTCTCTCTCTCATCTGTCTCATTGTATTTCCACATCAGCATCTCATTTTTTCCCTGTCCTAGCCTCTCTCCATCTCCCTTGTCTTTTCTCTCCACATATAATTTGCATCTCTCAGGACCGAAAAGGTTCCTCCACGTTGGACGGGATACTTTTAGGAAGACTGAGGGTGGAAAAATGGGTCACAACGCTGTTTGACATATAGCTCTGGCATATTAGACCTACAGAGAGAAACGGGGCTGCGTTCACCCACAAATGGAGCTGGTGTTGTGCAGCCACTGAAATGAATCCCACCTACCACCTGCTCTGTACTCTGCATAACCCCCAACGTGCCGTCACAAAAACACCATATCTGCAACCATTGCACCTCAATGAATGTTCATTTTTGTTATGATTCATGAGATCTTGGCCACTGTAACCAGTGCATGTGGTGTGAAACTGATCATTACATAATATACAGCATTCTAGCAGCTAAGCAGCAGGTACAGTAGCTCGAATCCAAGGAATGCTGCAAATGCTGCCTTCTCTCGCTGTACGATTCAGAATACAGCTCAAAATCCACCTCAGTCTACACAAACATGTCAAGCATCTTCTCGCCTTGCTCGTGTCATATCTATGATGTGATCTGAAATTCCAAACCCTGAAGCTGTCTCCCTCTCATGCAACATTTGGACACTGCAATCCCAACTATAGGAGCTGTTCTGGTGCATGGAGCAGGGATTGAGGAGGGTGGAATAGTGAGAAATCAATCCGATTGGAATGAGAGTGACACTTTGAGAAGTACTTCCTGCCTGATCCCAAATCCAGAGAGGCAGATCGGGTGGCCTAAACCAGACTATGTGTCCGTCACAGCTCGATGCTTTCCCCTTCCTTTGGAGGGAACTGAATCCAGGTATGCAGATCTATATCTGGTGCCAGAAGAGGTGTGTGTTTGGTAATTAAGAGAAGGAGCCTGTGTGACAGTCACCCATTGTCTTCATAGTGATTGCAGATACCGTGTGTATTGCTGAGTGTGCAGTGATTTATGTTTTAAATGTGTTTTGTTGAAGGCATTCTGCTATTTTCAGCATGATGCCATGAACTGGCTACTGCAGGTGTCTGCTGACTGTCTGGTTTTGCATGTGCACCTACAGTGTGCATGCATTCACAGCATCTATGGGTCCTCACACACACACACCCCCTTCCTAACTGCAAAATAGTACCAACAAAAGGCACAGACAGAGTGCAAGACAAGGATGATCAAACTAGATCACTAAAACCCAAATCAAAGCTGCTGTGATCAAGCAGCTGGATCCGTCTGTAACTGGAGGGTCGGAGGGAAAAAAAGAAGCCCACTGTAACTGTTTTCATGTACCACGGATCAAAAACACAGTCAGGTGTACTTGTTACTCCTACACCTGTATGATCAAATGCCATCAAACGCTTGCTTTTAAGAGGGAAATCATTAACTATTTACATGCAAACAATATAGGGTGTTCCAAGTTGTGCGTAACGGCAATCAAGCCCGTGCGTAAAAGCCATGTAGCATTCAACTGGGACAAAAAAACAACCCAGCAGACTGTAGCAGTACCAAGGGCAAATGTGGGGAAAGACATGCACTTTAACACTGACGAATCGGCGTCGTGTGAGCGTCCTCAGTGAGGTGCTACAATAAATAAGACTACTGTGAAATACGGCACATTGATGTGCATCGTAAACGGACAAATATGACCTAATGAAGGCGTTTGGATGCAGGAGGCGCAGCGGATGCCGCGTTTGGAGGCTGATATGTATTAAAGTAGCAGAATACGGCGATAGGAATTATGACAGCAATAAAAACGGCATTCAGTGTGAATCCAGCTCGTTTGAAACATGTCATAAATCAAGTATAAGACATGGAGGTGACGTGTCTGATAGAAAACCACTGTTATATCAACTCGTCCCCATCTGCCAATAGATATAGCTGCTATACTATTTTCCATTTTCCCTATGCTATCAGCATTAATTATTCAATATCAGTAAGTCTATGTTCTGCCATTAAATACAGCCTATCCTGTCAGGGATTACACACACAGCGACAGTCAGCCTGCAGCTAATTATGAAGGACTGGTTTCAATGATAATGTGGCAAGAACATTTAAAAAGCAAAGTTTTAAAAACTTATTATGACTGAAGCAGTGCATGCACAATATATGCAACAGTACAGACACAAGTTGGTCCCTCCAGGAGAGACATTGGGGAACTCACCCGGGCATATTTGGAGGAATACGGGTCTTCAAACAGTGCCCATATTCGGGGCTGCCAGGTTTTCCACCAGCCCGCTTTCCTTGCGTCCTCCTGCATGCACAGTCTTTTCAAGTCCCCATCCGCACCGCCCAGCGCCGGCTCGTCGTCCGGCGCGTCCGGTTCTGGAGTCTCGAAGCTGTCCAGCGCCTCCTCCGCATCCCGGTGCTGCCGGTAATTCATCCAGCAACACGCCTCCACGTCCGTCTCATCGATGCCCCAGAAGGCCAGCTCCTCTTCGAACAGGGGACCGCACACATCGTTGGGACAGTGCAACTTCCCGGTGCGGTAATAGTTGAGGATGAAGGAGAACACTGACGGGTGGCGGTCGAAGAAGAACTCGTCTAATTTGGGGTCGTAGTCGAAGTTGCTGAACGCGTCCGGCTCGGTGAGCCACGACAAGCGGGTACCGGGCAACGTTTTTAGGGTGCTCCGGTACGTCTCATGCCGCACCCCCCCGCAGTTTATCACGATTTTCTCGCTTTCCGACGGACAAGTCATGTCTGCGCTGTAACATGCTTTGTTGGACGACTTGTTCCCACCCTTGCGCCCTTTGAAAGAGGATACACACACCGAACTGAGCATAGAGGACCGGGGGGGAGGGAGAGGATGAGAGAAACCGAAGGGAGGAGGAGGGAGGAGTCTGAGGAGTCTGCGGGGAGAGAAAAAGGGCAGAAATTTTAGCAGAAGGGAGAAATAGATGTGGATTATCAACATTGCAATACAAATGAACAAACACGGGCTGTAATGCCAGCTGTATGTGCAATCAGTCACTTGATAATCAGCTGGTGGAAGGACACAAAATGACCTTGTGCAGGTGCAGTGAGTGAGAGGAAAGGGGGGGGGGGGGGGGGGGGGAGAAATGAGGGGTGGCAAAGTTGTTTTTAACATCCTGGAGCAGGCAGATGCAACTTATGAGTGCAACATGGAAACAGGTGAGCACATTCATGAGTCAGCATCCTCACAGCACCCTGACTGTTGACACCACAGTGATGAGAAGATGTCTTGAGCTATTGTGATGTGACCGGGGGCCTCCTCTTAGCTTCTATTCCAGCCATCACTGGACTAACAATCTCTAAATTGATCTGGTCAATGCTCATGGCATTTAAATCCTCTTCCTAATTAGTGAGACTTGAGCATCCCCCCACATCCATCCACACCTGCAGCAACCCTCATCTGGGCACCTAGGAGTGTGTGAGGAGGAAAGAGTGACAGGAAAACTGGGGATCCATCTCCCTGCTTCTTTCCCCCTTCCCCAAGAATGCCTCTCTGACGTAAGGTGGCGCAGCACCGTGTGTGTGTTTGTGTACAAGCATGTGTGTGTGTGTGTGTGTTAATTGCCTCCCGAGAGTGCGGTGTCCGTACTAATGTTAGATCGCCTCAATCAGCCTATGTGCGCGCTACACACACTGCTGCAGCCCCCTCCGACCGCACTGAGATTCATGCGATGCACAATTATGTCAATGCTCCCTCTGCCACTTCTCCCATGCACTGCGTGTGTATGTGTGTGTGTGAAGACATGTAGAGATAGAGAGGAGGGTGAGAAAGAGGGAGAGGGGGGAGGAGAAGGAGGCCATAAATCTGATTTTTAATGGAAGGATCGAAAAGGACAGGACAATGAGGAAAACAAGGCAGACAAAGAGCTGAAGATGAGGAAAGTGAATGCAGCACGCTCACTACTAATATTGTGTCTTCCCTATTAATGGAGGAAGGGGGTTGAGGAGAGAGTGTAAGGGGGAAGAGGAGGAGGGGGAGCATCGAAAAGGAGAGTGCACTATAAAAGTGAATGAATTCTGCTGCAGTAAAAAAAGCCAGAGTTATTTGCTCGCCCTCCTTCTTCTTCTCCCAGCGAGGTCAGATTATTCGCCCGCGAGCTGCGTTGCCATCCGTGGGGATGGAGGGATGGAGAGGTGGGGGGGGGGGGGGGGGGGGGGGGGGGGGGGGGGGGGGGGGGGGGGGGGGGGGGGGGGGGGGGGCTTCAGAGAAAAGACACGCGTCCACAGCAAAAAGCCCATACATGCGCCGCATCTATGTTGTTAACCTTTTTCTCTATTCAAAGAAATGCACCACTCTCCTCTTCCTCCCCCCCTTCCTCCTCCTCTGCGCGCTCTCACCGGCCCTCCCCCTCTCCCTATCTCACTACTCACTTTCTCTCCCCTCGCTCGCGCTCATATTCCGCATAAAGGAATCACATTTCATTGAAGGAGGAGAGTCAAGGCTTCATTCCTTCCTCTTCTTCCTCCTCTCTCACAACATACTCCTATCCAGTGCCCCCTTTCTTCTCCTAATTTCCCTGCATTTTCCGCCATTTCTCCCTTCTCTCTCCTGCTTCACTCCATCCTCCTGTCCTGTCCCGTCCCGTTCTCTCTCCCACCCCCCTCCCCAAAGTACCTCACTTTGGGTCAACTCTCTCCTGCTCTTCCCCCTCAGACTTTTGCTTCCTGTGATGTAGGACACTGCAGTCTTTCTTTCTGACTTGTTATTTGTGTTTGCTCTGTTGTTTTGCTCATCTCACTGCACTTTTTTGTTTAAAAAATCTGAGGAAACAACTTTTTGGGTTCATGGAAAAGTTTGCTGTGTCTCCTTTGTCTTCAGATCTCACATTGACATTAAGTTTCTTGTCATTTTTTTTTTGTATTTCTTTTCGGATATCCTGGACTTAACAGCACTCAGGTAAGATCTGCTAAGAGTAAGACTATTGCATGGGGATGCAGTCAGAGTTAGGGAACACTAAAGTACAAATATTTGGCACTGTGCCCAGCTGACAAAAACAAAAATTGGCGTGATGTGTGTGCACAGATTAAAAAAAGGCTTGCATTTAACTGTTTTCCCTTTAACATCCAAGTTCTTTGCAGTGTTTGCTGCAGAGGGATGATATGCACTCTTGAATTTAGAGTTACACTGCATCACTCTGCAGAAGTAGTTTCGTCTGCATCTAAAAAAAACTCTGTAAATCAAGATTAATTTAATGTAATAAGGAAGTGATAACTTGCAGTAACTTAAACTGAGCAGTTTGACAGTGAGGTCAGGCAGGCAGAGAGTCCTGTGGGGCTCTCCAGCCGGGACCGCTTTTGTTGTGGGATGGATTATGTTTCAGCACCATGGACAGCGGCACTCTCTCCCTCCTCTAACAGGATGCTAAACTTTCCAGAAGCAGCTTTTTGTGATCTCTCCGTGGAACTTTTATCCCTTGGATGACTTTTTTTTTTTTTTTTTTTTTTTGGCTTCACTTTGTAACTTCCCCTACTGCACCTCCTCGCTTCTACTTCACAGGCGGCTGCAGTTTATTGGTGGACTGCTGAATATTTTATACACAGGACAGCCGCAAGTCTGTAACTGTGGCTAAATGCCTTTTTGTCCCCCCTGACTCATGTGTGGTGGGGTTATTGATTTTTAAAATGTACTTAAGTATTCTTATATGCATTTAAAACCGAATTTGGGAGGTTAATTTGGATAGAGTTTCCTCAGAACTCATCTTTACTGAGTTTGAGTGAAAGTAGTTGTGAACAGGACCAGATTGCTGATTTTAATGAGCTCATGATGTATGAGTTTGATTCTTTCTAGCTGCATTTCAGGAGAATGTCCGCAGTTTGAGGCTTAAAACCGGGGAAGTAAGCACATTTCTTTAAAAGCCAGCCTCAGCACTTTAATCACTGACAGCAGTGCAATTGCCTGAAAAACAGAAGGAGCAGAGGGGGGAACGCATGAGGAGGAGAGGTGTGGGGGGGGGTGAAGCTATAGAAGGTGATGTGTAAAATGGAGGAAGGAAGTTGAGAGATGAAAACAAGCTCAGGTGAGATAAGAAGGGAGGCATAAAGAGAGGAAGCAAGAGGCTGAAAAAACTGAGGGAGAAGCAGGAGGAGGGGATGCAGAGAGGAGGAACAATCCACCAGCACCTCTCTTTCTCTCTCCTGCAGCATTTCCTGCCTTGGCCACCATGTCCTGCGCCACCCTGCTACTACTGCCTCACCACTGCACACACACGAGGGGAAAGACAGCGAGAGGGAGGGAGAGAGGGAGGGAGGGAGGGAGGGAGGGAGACGCATACACACACACACACACACACACACACACACACACACACACTCACCTGGCTGCAACAAACAGGCTAAGAAACGCATTTTGAGGGCGAAATGAGGCTCGATCAGGAACCTTTAGATACAGGAGATGATTTCTGCAGTGGACGGATAGATGGAGAGAACGGGGCTGAGAGAGAAAGATGGAGCGTGCGCACGCCTCGTGCACGGAAAAGGCTGCACTGACGCTAATATATATTAGCAGAAACACTGCAGCAAGAGGGGGAGGGAGCACGGGATTATGGGATGCATTGACTGTGAGGTACCAGCAGCAGTAACTGGGGGAGGGGAGGAGAGCGCACGCTAGAGAGAGAGAGAGAAGGAGGGTGAGAGAGAGAGAGGGAGAGAAGGCAAGGGAGGAATTTGGAGGAGTGCTGACTACGCGGAACAGACCCAGCAGTTGGCAGAAAAAGCAAAAACCTTTACCAATCACAGAGGGGGAGATAGGGGGAGGGAGATGAGATGGAGAAGGAGGGATGTTGGACAGAGATGGAGAGAAAAGGATGGAGAGAGTAGGGAGGAGGATGCAGGTGAGGTAGAATGAGCAATCCTGGGGAACATGAAAGAGGGGAGAGAAAAAAAAGGTGGGGGGAGACGGAGAAGACAAAAAAAACACCTTGCAGTGGCTCAGGATAGCACCTGAATGGCTGTAAAGGTGTAGGAGGTGTAGGGGGAGGGGTGGAGGTGGAGGTGGGCGTGGGGGGTAGAAATGGTCTGCAATACTAATAAGAGGATGATGAGGAGAGAGGAGGAGAGGAAGGAAAACAAGTGTAAAACAGACATACAGCTGAGCTGAGGAGCAAAATACCACTGGGGGAAAGGAGGGTTTTGCAGGGGAGTGTGTAATGTATGTATGTGTGTGTGTGTGTGTGTGAGTGTGTGTGTGTGAGAGAGATAGCACAAATTACGTATGTGTTTCTGGTGCGCAGCCATTTTTTTTCCCACCCGCTACCTCATCAAAGGATGTAACCACAAGGCTTCACGCTGTTCCACCCATATCACCTCCCTCCCTCCCTCCTTTCCTGATTCCTCTCCCCCTCATCTCTACCTTATCTCCCTCTCCTCTCCTCTTTCTCACACTCCCCAGTGTTGAGGAGACCCCAACAGGAGAAAGCAAGGCACTGCAGCGCGGTGAAAAGCACTGCGGTCACCTCCCCTTTTAGTGCGGTGTCACACCACCACACAGTGTCCTCTCCCCCCTTGAATTGTCATTGCACCTCATGGTGTACCTCCGAACCTGGCAGGAGAAGAAGAAGAAGAAGAAAGGTGCGTGGCAGTGTGAGGGTAGGGGTGAGAGGTATGAGCTGAATGAATAAGGAGAAAAATGAGATGAATATCATGAATGGATGAAAAAGAAAACAGGGTGCGTATGCAGAGGAAAACAGAGAACAAGGCCACACAATGACCCAGTAGCTCCGAGACGGCTAATGCAGAGGAGGGTAGGAAAAAAAGAACAACAGGGCATTCCTCATCATAATAAAGCTCACTAGTGGCCAATTCCCAGAACATGAATTAAATAGCCAATCAATTAAGCAAGCAGAAAAGGAAATGGCAGCTCTTCTACTCAGCAACACCACCGTGGAGATCTCCAGGGGCTGACCAATCCACACATACTGCAGCACCAACACCCCCTTGGGGGGGGTTCTGGTCCTCCCTCCCACCCCCCAGAAGCTGCTCCTGCTGCTGCTACCCCTTCAGCCACCTTTTTTCTTTTTTTATGAGAGAAAAAAAATCATGTGCTCCTGGTCTGCTCCTTTTAGCTGGCTGAGGATGATTAATACATAAGGCCATTTTCAGGAATAGGCCAGCAGAAATGAAGCCTGTAATAGAGCTCTGAAGGCTCAGCCATTGTCCATGACTAAAAATCCTTCCTGCCCACAGGAGGATAAATGTTGAGATTTTTTTGGGGGGTAGATGTGCCCACTGTGTGAGACTTCACAAATGACAGCAGGAAGGAGAGGTACTACAGCTTCCTTCGAGGAGCAGCGATTGGTGTAGGAGAGGTCAGAAAAAGCCCTGAAACAGCACTGAGTGCAGGCTATGGGATAGTGTGTCATGTCGGGAAGGATCTCTATTTTTGGAGCTGGATGAATCTGAGCAAAAAATCCCTCACTGTTTTAAAATCTGGTTCTTGGAGAATTTGCATCAGGAGCAAATTGCTTTAACCTCCACACCTCCCGACTCTCTCTTAGGTCATTTAAACGTGTCTGCTCCTAATTAATCGTGCTGCACTTCCTGCAAGATTAGGACCATTATGATCCAGCTGAGCGGTGATGTGGTACACGGGGCCAGACAGACAAACGGGACCAGGGAAGATGTATTACTGCACTGACTCCTAACCTGTGAACCAGCTGGCGATTAGACAGAGTAGGGGTGGGAAGTCGCAGATTAGACTCTCAACAGCCAGGAGAGGAAGGGAGAGAAGTTGAACGTGAAGAGACAAAGAGAGAGGATGAAAGGTGAGCCTCAAGGTCGAGGTTTGACAACGCACAAGGGTGTGAAAGGAGAATCAGCTCGATCAGGTGATGAGTTAGTTGGAAGGACAGAGGGAAAGTTCTCCTGAAGCTGGTAGGAAGACGTGAGATGAGAGAGAAAGCAGCCAAGGAGAGAGGAAGGGTCAGAGGCAAGAACACACACACAAACCCAGGACACGACAGATGCGTAATTCAATCACAGCCCTCAAAATAGATTTATTCCCCCCCGTTGCTTAAACAGCAGCGCCCTCCTTTCGAGCCCCATCACTACTCTACCAATCACATCCACTGACAGTATGCCACTGTCTCTGGTGGGGAGGTTTTTTTTTTCTCTTTCTTCTTCTTTTTTTTCCTTTGCTAAAATCGAAGGGGTGTTTTCTGGGTTACCCTCAATCTAAAAATAGCTCCAGCTGTAGATTTATAATGCAGGAAAGCAAGGGAGAGAGAGCAAATGGAGGAAGAGTGTTTCCCATTAGGGGGAAGAGCACGCTGGAGCCAGTTGGCAGGGGGAAAAAAAGCAAGGCATGCGCTGGGAAGTGAAGGAGGAAGAAGGCGTTACGAAACTACAAGACTTTGTGTGCGATGCAGTGGAATGCAGATGGAGCAAGTTGACAGGGTATAGGTGATGTGGCGGCGGAAGAAGGGGGGGAGAAGAAGAAGACCACGTCTAGACGTTTAACTGCCCCCATAGACTTCCTGGATCCTAGTGACGCTATGTCCTTCCTGTGGCTCTGCTCCCCTTCTTCCTCACACCTCCTTCTCCTCTACCTCTCTCTCTCATATGTGTGTGTGTGTGTGTGTGTGTTTGTGTGTCAGCCCTCTCGCCCTCCTATATGGTTCCTTTATCAAACCTCCATTTCAGGCCTTGACACTTACCACAGTGCGGCCACGCCACACAGACACAAACACTGGAGGCACATGCAATCATGCACACACAAAAAAAAGCAATACACACATGGACATAGTTGCTCATGCAGACGGACACACAATGATGCCGAGAGGAATGCACACACACACGCACACACACATTCCCCTCAGAGGCATGAAACTGCTCTGATCTAGTGGTGTAGATGGGGAAACACCCACCATTTGTGCAATGAGGGATGTTAGGATTCGAAAAATGAAATTTATAGGCGTCATATCAGTGGATAAATCAAATCTGACTGCTAGAGTACAGTTGTATTTGTATTACAGCAGCTAGAAATGACAATAAAAACCACAATAAATTTGAACACATTGTGAATTACTCCAAATATTGATCAAAACACAAGCAAGGCTACAGAATTTTTAGAAATAAAAAACGCAGTTATTGTGGATATAACGATACTTGTTGAATGTAGGCTAGACGCTTTTTCTTCCTTCTCTTTTAGAGCTGGCCAATAGATGCTTTGTTATTAGACGGGCATAAACGCAGAATAAAAAAAAGCCACCAAGAAATACAGACATATACACAGACACGGTTCATACTCACTTGCTTTTGGTTCAGGTTCGTTTCGAGTGCGTGCAGAAACGCGCACATCAAGCTTTGAAAAGATCAATCAAAATGTAGTTTTCTTTGTTAGATCGCTCTTTCTTATGATTTCAGAGAGTATCCAGTTTCTCGCAGGCATTCGGTTCATCTGCTTTTTTTGCTCCCCACGATTAGAATAAAACAAAATAGGGATTGCGCGCGTCTGTTGCTGGAAACCTCGTTTTGACACCGTTATTGCCGAATGTTACTTATAGCTTATGGTCATGCTGATGATGGCAAAAGGGATGAGGCTTTTCGGATGGAATGAAGCAGGAGTCTTTTTTGTTGTTGTTGTTGTTGCTATTTCCCCTCGATTTCAGAGCCCCCTCTCCCACCTCTTTGTTATTGCCAGAAAAATAAAAAATAAAAATTGCCAGCCTTTGTTACAGTGTCTCTACGCTTCCAGGCGCAGGGTGTAGCTACCATTCAGCTCTTCCTCTGTCTCCCCCCTTTTTGCAAATGTTTCAATGGAGATGCAGCCTGTAGACACCTCTCTCTTTGCCTTTCCCTCTCTGTGCCTCTCTCTGTTCCTTTGGAGGAGCGTCACCTTCTGCACTATTTTTTTTTTCCCTCAGACGATACATGTGGGCGGATTAGAGAACAAGACAGAGGGGTGGGAGGACCCCGGTGAATACAGAGGCTAATTTCTCATATGGCTGTGCTGAACTTCGTAAATACATATGCTGCGAATATACACACACCAGGGATTTAACAGGAGAGGCTAGATTGATTTATGATCATGTGTTTAATTGGGGTTTATTCCCCCCCCCCCCCCTTTCTCCTCCTCCTCCTCCTCCTCCTCCTTCCCCACTTAGCCCACATAGCCCACACATGCTCACTCTGCTGGACGGACGCACAAACACCATTTTGTCTACAGGTTCCCAGCCTTGACTCTGACTTGGCTGACATCAGCAGTCATGTGTTAGCAGAGGAGCAGGTGCGTTATATGACAGTGAGTTTCAATAATGATAATAATATATCAATAATAACAAACACATGATCTGTCTTTAAAAATGCCTCTATTTTAAAAGGACAGTGTGTAGGATTCATGGAGCTTTAGCGGCGTCTACAGGTTAGGATTAAAGACTGCAACCAGCTGAAACTTCTTCCAATAAGAATTCCTTCAGTGCTCCTTGTTTTGGAGCATTTTATCAGGAGCCAAATTATCCTCAAACAGACCTTAGGCCCGTACCACGAAGCCAGTTTAACTTACCCAGGATATCTTTTCGTTATCCGGCTTGACTAACCCTGACATTGCACAACGTGATTTTGCCAGACATGTTCCTGGATCAACAACGCGATCAACCAACGCTCTGACATCATCCGTGTGCTGCCCCTGTGCTTCTTTCAAAGCTATTTTGTGCTTCTTCTCAGCAAGTTTTCCAAATTGAAGTTAGTACAGTTGCACAAAATCCTGCAGGGTTAGCAAGTTAGCGTGCCTAATAGGTGGGCTGTTTTGTTTTTTTAACCTGAGAATCCAGGCTTTCGTCCCTGGATACTTTTTTTGTCAGTGATCTGATTGGTCAGACGTCAGAGTGTTGACAGTCTGGGATTCGACACTCTGAAGTTAACCTGCTTTGGATCGGTTAGCTGTTCAGCATAAGTTACCACGTGATTTATCCCGGAAAAAAACACAACCAGCTTCTTAGTACTGAAAACCTAGAGTTAAACCTGAAGTTACCTTGCTAACTCCGAATCCTGCTTCGTAGTATAGGCTTCAGGTGATTAAAACCAGTCAAAACACTAAATAAAGCAGTCTCATGCACGTTGCAAATAGGAAACTCACCCAGCACCTGCTTTGTATGCTCAACTTATTTCTGATCCAGATGTTCAGGAGGTTTAGCCTGGAAATCCAGATGCCCCGTCCCCAGCAAATTCGAATTTGCACTGCACAGGAATCTGGCCCCGACTAGCAGAGCCCGCTGAATCGCCATCAGACCAATCAGATCAGTCTATCTGACAGAGGCTGGCTCTGGGTGGGCGTAACATGATGACGACAGCACTGCGCCGTAGGAGTCTAAAAGTAAACAGCCAAGATGGCAGCTGCCGAGGGACCGCGTCCATTCAGTTTAGCTTTGGAAGAAACGCTAAGCCAACTACTCTTATCTTTTTCCTTGAGAGAGGAACAGAAGACTGCCCTAGAAGCCTTCTTTTCCAGGAAGGATGTTTTTGCCGTTTTGCCGATGGGATACAGCAAAAGCATAATATATCAGTAAGCCCCACTGTTCGGCAAACAAATGGGTCTTAGTGCAATGAATACGTCACCTTGTTTTTTGCTCTGATTGGTTATCATGCTATCCAATTGCATGCAGCGGCATTTGAAATGCCTCCGTTAGTGCTGCCCCTTGGGTAGGAAGGGTGTATCGGTGAGGGCCAGACTCTAAATCTTTCTAGATTTGAGTCTGGATTTCCAGGCTACAGGAGGTTTTTACTGGGAGCTAAATTATCTGCAGCGGTCTTTTCCTCTCCAAAACAAATGGACCTGGTGATTTAAACCGGTAAAAACACAGAATAAAGCAGTTTAACTTTAAAACACAAGTGTTTTTGCTGCGCTGCTCATCGCAGAGGTGCTGCTAGCTACGGTGGCTGACGTGAAAATGCAAATGGCCCTATCTAGAGCCAGTGTTTGTTTGTCCATTCTGGGCTACTGTAGAAACACGGCTGTGCAACATGGCAATCTTCATAGATGAAGACCCACTTCCTATGTAGATATAAACGACTGATTTTAGAGTATCAAAAACGAAACGTTTCTTATTTTCAGTTGATTATACACTAAAGACATACTTATTATATTACATTTCTAATAATATATCCTGCACACTGTACCTTTAATAAACTTCAGTCACTTTAAGACATAGGTGTAGATTTCGGGGGGGATGCAGGGGGGACATCCCTTTCAATATAGAACATGTGCAAAGTCTTCCAAAATGGAAGTAGCAGGGGACTTTTTAGACAAAATTAAAGACATCTACACCATAAATTTGGCCTATTCAACTGGCAAGCAAGCAACTTCTGCTTGGCCCAGTGCGCATAAATCTAAGACAAAACATGTGAACCACACTGTTTTTGCAGGAGGTCTGAGCCACACTCCAGTGGAAGCACAGTGATCAGCAACGTTGCCGATGCATTTACAGTATCGACAGGAAGCTCAGGGTCGAGTGCAACACAGCCTCATAAAAATTACAACAGTGGTAAAAGGGCAAAAGGCTATTTCTCAGGTGCCTGTGGCGTTTTCCTTTGACCACAGAATGTTCTTGTAACAGCAAAGTGCAGACAGAATAAGGGGGAAATGCAAGTTGTTCAAAGTGCATTTAGAATTAGTACAAAAGGAGATTGTGTTGCTGTTAAATGCACAATTAAAAATGCAAAAGGGCTGTTTGCATAGGCTTAGATTCTAGTTATTTATTTAAAATGTGTGCACAAATTGAGGCACTTTATGGTATGAAGGACACAAAATAGTCTTGGATCTGTTTCTGTTTCTCATTAAGTGTAGCTCCCTTCCGTCTTTCTTTGTATTATCATACACCTATTTGGGAAGCCAATGCCAAAATTACATGTTTGACCCCCACAGCAGTTATATGTCTGGCTAAGGAGTCCTCAAGTAAGGTCTGTTCATTGTAATTCACTCTTATCATTATTTTAGGTCTTGCTTTTCCTTATATGTACAGTATATTGTATGCCTAATATTTGATCACACCTTATGTGGTTCCCTAACCAACACCTCTACTAAGTGTGAGGTTTAGAGTCGTTTTCTGCGCCCTCTGGAAATCACACATAATTCTATTATGCACTATATCACTTCTTGTTCATTTACAACCCTTCAAGCCCCTGCAGCGGCGTCTAGAAACGGTCCGACACAAGATTTATACAGGTGTTGCACTCATTAATTCTTAGATAATTCAAACTGTTAAAACAGCAGCTACAGCCCTTCAAGCAAAATCTGTAGGAGTTTTTAATACAGTATGTTAAAGGTAATATAATAACAAGACTAAGTGAACTAATTCCTAACTACAGACATGTTAATGCAAGCATGATCACTGTGACAATCTGTGTTTAGCAGGAAATATTTACCAGGTTCGTCATGTTAGCATGTTAATATAAGCAAATTAGCATCACACAAAGTACAGCTGAGGCTGATGGGTATGTGAGTTTAGCAGGTGGAGGGCAAACTGAGGTGTAAACTTAAAGGAACACTTCACACATAAAAGGATAATTTGTACATGCATTACTCACTGTGTTTTATCTTGAATTCGTGACATAAACTCTGCTTTTCTCGTATGCCTCCGCAGTGAAGGAGAATCCAAAAGATTAATTTATCCAGTCGTAACCTCAGTGCTTCCCAAACATGCCTTCTTACGAACTCTCTATGATATATGAGTAGTGCACACTGAGCATGCCTGTGCTCTTGAAGGCTGGGAAATACTGGGGATTGTGCAATAACTTGGGTTGGGAAATATTGGGGATTGTGCAATAACTTAGCACAATAACTTGGTGTTCTGTCTGTTTTTCACATTTTGTCTGGTTTGTGTCTTATGAGTGTGTATGTTTGCCATTTCCTGTGTCTTTGCTGTTTTGTGTATGTTTATTGTCTGCAAGGCAGCTGGTGTATGTACTCGAGTCCACGACAAATTTCCCCCAGGGGACAATAAAGTATATTCTGTTCTATTCTATTCTATTCTGTGCACACGCGTATGAGCTCTGCTTGAGCACAGTTCAAATGCATGCGCGCGTTCAGGTATGGTACTCGGCCTTGTATGACTGTTTGTAATGACGTTTTAAATCATTTTTATTTTTTTATTTTCGCAAAAATTAATGTGTTTGGGACGTACTGAGCATTCAAATGGATAAATGAGACTTGCATTATACTACATGAGTTGGATTCTCCGCTTTTTGGATTCTCCGCTCACTGTGGAGGCATGTGAGAAAAACAAAGTTTTCTTCATGAATTCAGCGTAACACACGGAGAGTAACAGCTATACAAATGGTCCTTTTATGGGTGAAGTATTCTCATAATAATAATAATGATGTTGCTAGATAAAAGATCAGGGGGTCGTCAGAGTCATTAGAAGTTGCTATCAAAGGGCCGTGAATATCAGAAGCAAGTTTCATGTGTTCACACCAAAGGCGATGTGAATTTTTGCGTTTGAATGCTAGGATATTTTGTGTTGACTTGCTTCATACGTGCAAATAATTCACATCATACATGTGTGTGATCACTAAATCGATGAATAAACTTCCACCAGTACGTCCTAGGCATCAAACGTCCCCAGAGGATCTCAATGCTGATTGGCTATCGTGGCGCAAATTGGTCGCTAAAGTTCAGATTTGTCAATTCTTGCGAATAAGCATATGATGCAAAATCACCCTACTCGCTTCATTCATACCACTTAATTAGCGTCCTTAGCGTCATACGTATCGCATCCAGCGCATTGCCCAGCAGGAATTCGCATCTGATCGCAGCTGTACATTGACTTTACACGTAAATCACTTGTACAAATTTTTTTATTTGCGCTCAGTATGACCACAACATAATAGTTGCCGAGACATTTCGTCCTGAATCAAAAAAAAAAAAAAAAACCTGCTGGTGGCAGTAGAAGTCAGGGGGGTTCATCCTCTGGGGAACATCAGTGTCTTTACAAAAATATTGCTGTTGAGATATTTCAGCCTGGAAGTGGTGGAACAGCCGACTCCGTCCATAGAACCACACCGCTACCGCT